GGCATGAAGATAAAGTAGTGTTGGAAGAAATAACTAAAAAATACCAGGAGAAACAGAGGGGTGTGTGTGTGTGTGTGTGTGTGTGTACGTGTGTGTGTACGTGTACGTGTGTGCGTGCATGTGCGTGTGTAGGAGTGCAATAGAGATAGACAGGTGAACAGACAGATGGGAAAGTGAGAGACAGGGAGATAATAGTGAGACAGACATAAAGACAGAAAGATGAGGAGCCACACAGACAGATGTGGCTCAATACTGAGGATGGCAAATAAACAATAAGATATGAAAACAGACAGTGACCAGAACACACTATTTAGCTACACACACACACACACACACACACACACACACACACACATATTTGGAGTTGCCCATACAATCTTGTCTTAAGATTTTCAGGATAAAATGTGTATTCACACCTGTCTTGTCTGGTTCGGTTGAATCAAACTCATGTTTGTTTCCCCCTTGGCGAGGATCTTTTGGGCAGGTGTGAATACAGCAATCACACACAGGTTTGGACCAAACAACCGTATAGACACCCAGCTGAAGAGGTGGTCTCGGTCCGGTTCCAAACAAACTCTATTACGGTTTGTTTAAGGTATGAACTTAAAATAGCTCAATTGCAGAAAGCACTGTGCAGTCTAGTTGCACATCGTCCACTACAGTGGACACTAGAGTGTTATGCCATACACTGCCACTGTTTGGTAAGCCATTGTAAGTGCAAATTAAATTCGTCAAAACCAAGATGGCCGACGAACAATCGGAAATGCTGAGCAGCATTCCTACAATTTTAGGAGAACCCTGAAGGTAAATAAAATTTGGTAACATCTCGTAACAACTAAGGAGTAGTACAATTGTTAATTTTTCCAAGTATTGACTTTATGTTGGGAGGAAATTGCAATTAATCATCTGTCCACTAAATTGGACATTATGCATCATTTACATTTACATTTACTCATTTGGCAGACGCTTTTATCCAAAGCGACTTACATTTGAGGAACAACATACAAGCATCAACAGAGCATCAAATACTGACAATACATACTAGTAAGAGCAGCAATAAATACTAGTAAGAGCTCATAGTACATATCACATCAGTGGGGTAAATACCTAGGGACGGAAGTAAGAGTTAATAAAAACTGCAATCAAAACAAAAAAGTGCAATCAATACAAGATAATTGTAGGAGATAGAAAAAGAAGAGCACAGGAAGTACATGTTAGATGTTAGGAGTTAGAGGTGTTATAAGAGGAAGTGTTCTCGGAAGAGATGAGTTTTCAAGAGCTTCTTGAAGTTAGAGAGGGACGCCCCTGCTCTGATGGCGTGTGGTGGCTCGTTCCACCATCGTGGTGTCACAAATGAGAATAGCAGGGACTGGGATTGCTTTGTGTGAAGGGATGGCAGAGCCAGGCGACGTTCGTTGGAGGAGCGTAGTGGCCGAGAAGGAACTTAACTTTGTATTATGCAGTTTAGGTAGATGGGTGCAGACCAAGTAGTCACTCTGTATGCAGCATTAGTGACTTGAATTCAGTTCATACCTTAGACGCACGCTGTCCACCTTAGTGGACATGTAAGAAACTCCTTGAAAAATGTGTGTTTTATTTTGCATGCCTAAAGAGCAATAAAAACACATAGGAAAAAAATCCTGACAAAGGCTCTCATAATTCATGCATGAAAGGGTGAATTACCTGATATCTAGTTCATGTGACAGACAAATCTGGAGACAAATGCACAGCTTGCCTATGCAGAGTGTGACACAGTCAGATTTTTATTATGTAATTAGGGGTGATGAAATGGCTAAACATGACTCATTAGTGATTGCAGTGATTACAGTGCACTACACATACAGCAGCAGTATGCAGCAATGTTAGCAGTAATAAGTTCTGATGAAATAACCTGCTGATCTGGTTGCATGAACATAGGCTCTCTCTATGAATTCAAATGTTATACATGATCCGTCTTCTGCGCAGTACCACTGTCAACATGCCATATAGGTGCACATAAGAGAATGATCTCTCTGCCAGAACCATCTTCGTCTTTGCAAGATGCTAATTACAATACCGTGTAGATAACACCATATCATATGACCCTCACAAGTTTCTGCAAATTGTGATTGTAGCTGATAACACCAAATCAGCAAAAGAACAATAATTGCACTACAAAAGATCTCCATGGTTATTTAGCCTCCTTTCGCACTTCCTGCTTTTCCTCACTCACAATTTCTGTCCAATGAATGGATGACCTTAGCACACATATGGCAGTGTGAAATTGAACCGCACCAAACCAAAAAAAATAATAATCAGCATTGTATTTGACCAAAGCAAGTGAAATAGCAAACTTTCCTGATCTGAATTACTTAACACCATTGGAAACTCTTGTTTCTTGTTGAAGTGCTCACCTTGCAATTATGTAACAGTGTACTTGGGGTGTGGTGAGTACTCTCTGACATCACTGTAAGGTGTGGTTACAGGTGCAACAGAGCACACTTCAACATCGACCAAAAGAGGTCAGTAAAACAATGATTTTCACCTCGGTTTTAAGTTCTTATACCATTTGGTACATGTAAAGTAGCCATATCTGAGATACAGTAGGCAGTCAACTTCAGCTCTGAACAACTCAGTTCTCACAATAGAACCCAAAAGATGTTCATTTCTGTGCAGAGTCCAGTCAATGTTCAAACGGTTGCTTTAGTGATCTGACTACAAAAGTCACGTTGATCACTGTTTAAAAATAGTGATTGATTCTGTCTTGTCTACATTTCAACATCACGCTTATGAACGAGAAAGGGGCCGACAAAACAAAACCACAAACTTTCATAGACTCACACATTTTTGAACCTGTCAGTATATGTTGCAATTTGTAAACTCTTGATTTGCACCCTGGCTAACATTAGTAGCTGCATTAGCATCAGATTATTTTAGAATTGGCCTGCTGGCTATATGTGGCTTGCTAAAAACATAGTACTGTGTGCAGTTTAGCCAGGCCGCTGTATTACTGTTGGTAGAGTAGGAAAGACTAAATTGTTTGGTCACGTTCACTGGTAGAAGAAGCGAAAACATAGATTTAAAGCAAATCAAACAAAAATCCCACAAATAAAGTAAATTGACAAGTAAGTTAGTTAGCATGTTAGCTGGCAAACAGCTGATTTTCTGATGATGTATATTATCTCCAAAGGAAAACCAGATGCTGACAAAGCGTGTAGTGTTTTTAACAAAACCATCTACTCTAGAACTTGACCTTGACTGTTAACCCCACCCATCCATATTAAGTTGAAATACAATATGTTCAAAACTGCCATTAAACAGCCAATAGAAGTGCTTCTGTGGGCAATTTATGGGGTCACTTTGTCTGTTACACATCTGCTTTGATTCCCTCATATCAGACAATACAACCAACAATGCCTAAAATATAGCCAGTAGTTTATCTGAGTCTCCTCAGCCTTCTACTCCTCGTGTTTCAGAGTTGAGATAACACAAAAAACAGTGCCACTGTAACTTAAAACAATTTTGAATGTGGAAACAAATCTGTCGGAAGGTTCACATGTCTAACTTGACCACAAGGATTTTTTGCAGGTTTCTGCTTTCTTTTAGTGTGGTTGTTATGTGTTAAGTCATTATTTGCAGGGAACCAACTGTGCATGATGGCGCTGGAGAACAAAGCTGAATGGCCTTTATTGAGACAGAGAGATAGACAGATAGACATCTAGATGGACAGGCAGATAGGAAGACAGGGACACAGACAGCAATCATACAGCACAAACACCGTAGAGGTCAATGCTATCACAGAAACGAGCAGTTATTTCGTAGCATTTCATCATCATCATCATCATCTATCTTGGTCGCTTGCGCTCTCTCTCCCTCTTTCATGGCTGGATTTCTCATTGATGACAAAGGCATTTATGTCTCTCTTATGTTCCCCCCTGTCTTCCTCTTCATCCTACTCCCTCTCCCTCCTCCTCCGCCCATCCCTTACTGTCTCTCCCTTATTCTCCTTGCTATTTATGCTTCCTCTGTTTTATTTTGCAGTTTTTTTTACTCTCTCCTGCACTTTCTTTTGTCTCTCATTCTCATTTTGCATCTTCTCTCTTTGTCTTTCTTTGCCTTGTTCAAGCTCACAAATCTCAGCTATTTTTTCCTCCTCTCACTTCCTCTTCATCACTCCTCCTCTTCCTCCTCCTCTTCATCCTCTCTCCCTCTTACATCATTTTCTCTCTAACACAACTCTGCCTTCCCTCCTCCTTTCCATTTTACCTTTCTCTTTCCCATGATTTAAATTCTGCACATCATCGTTCTTACTTTCCTCTTTCCCTCTTAGTCTGCCCTCCCTATCCTTGCTCACCCTCCTTTACATGCTTGCTTCCTCTCTTCCCATCTCCTTTATATTTCTCACTACCTACTTCTACATATATTTTCATTTCTTTCACTACTCCACAAATGTCACTCTTCACTTTCTTTACATCCATTCATCCCTTTCCTCTTGGTTTTTAACTTCTCCTTTCTTCATTACCCATTTCTCTGCTCTCTCCCTATCCCTTATTCTTTTTCCCTTTCTCACCTTTTCCCTCTCTAATTCCCATTTCCTCCTTCTTTCAGTCCTTTCTTCTTGCTATCCTTTCCATATTGTTGTCCTTCACTGACCTTTCCCGACCATCCCCATCTGTCATCCCCTCATATTTTCTCCCACTTTTCCTTCTTTCCTTCCTCCTATCTCTACCTTTTTCTGCCCCTAATATCTTGCTCATACTCTGCCTCCTTTCTCTGCCTCCTCTTCCTGCTTCTTTTCTTTTTTCTTCTTCTTCTACAAAACCAGTACCTAGTAAATATGTGAAAACTATCAGTCATCCATTGCAATGTTAAAAAATACAAAGTAATTACTCAGTATATAAGTTTTAAAAGTTTTAAAGCAAAAGAGAATCTAAATTTAAAAAAGCATACATTATACAACTTAAATTAGTTATAAGTGCACATTTCTGTTTATTTATATCCTGTTCTTCTTCCTCCTTTAGCTCTGAGAGATAACCGCATCCAGCTGCACCGCTCGACATCCACCGAACTTTCCATCACCATCGCTGAAGTGCAGCTGGCCGACGAGGGCGAGTACACCTGCTCCATCTTCACGATGCCAGTCCGCACTGCCCGAGCCACAGTCACCGTGCTAGGTGGGTTACACAAACATGCATATACACAATACATATTTACACAGTGGGGTGGGGTGGCTGGGCCTGTCAGCTTGACGTTACCAAAAACAGAGATTGCATCTATTCCAGACCTTTAAATAAACCCTTGAAATGAAAGTGCAAGTTATGTGTGTCTACATCTTCTATCTTACGAAAAAGAAAACATGATGTTGATAAAAAGACAAAAATCAATTCTCATTTTTCATTATCATTTTAGTTAAACTCCCTGAACTCTATTAATTTTAGTGTTCCTATCTCCTGTCTGTCCTTGAAGGAGGATTTCTGTGTGTGTGAGGCCCATCCAAAGGTTTCTACTGATTTTTTTCCCCCTATGTAGGCTTTTCTAAAAATCTTTCTTTGTTCTCACTGAGGCCTAATGGTGCAGAATGACATTCTTGCCATCCTTGTGTTCATATGTTCATGTCTCCTTTGAGACTGACTGATGGCTGTATAAATCAGCCTGACTGAAGTCTATTTTAATTTCTCTCCCAAACCTGTAGGATTGTGACACATTTAAACGGATGATTCAAGGCATTTGGCAAATTTTCTTATTTTCTCCACGGTTGTCATGTTGTTTATAACAATTTTACAATGTCTATTTTTTCTACCAGTCATTTTCAGACTACACAGAAAATGTTGAAAAACTGGCTCAAATTCACATGGATAAGTCACTGTGGCCCAACCTACACTGCAGAGTTTACCGTCTCTCAGAGCAAAAGTTTGACCAAGTGGCTGTCAGTTGTAAGTGTGACATGAGAGGCTGCCTGTTGGCATGAGGCAGTGCAGCAGTTCCATAAGTGAGGGGACTTATAAAAGACAGACAGAATATCTGCAATAAATGCGCATAGGCAGAGATATCCTGACATTTAGACCCTAGTATGGTAAAGCTGCACAAACACTGCATCCTATAATTCAACTTGATTACATCTTGTGATTAGATCACCGATGAATTGAAAAATAAATTGTATAACTTCCAAAATATGAATGAAATAACCCATTTTGTGATCCATGACTCTATAGCTTTCCTCATGATGCCTTCATCCAGTTTGATCTAGTTCCTTACTGATAGTGTTAACCTTTGTGTACGGTTGTGACCTCATATAACTCTTGTGTGGAGATAAACAGGCTCCACTCATCTTCTTTGAGACGGATGTTATTACCTATGTGTGATGCTTCCCTGCAGCCTGCAATATGTTGCTGTCATCCTGTCAGTGGTGAGTGAGCCTGTTTATTGGTTGGATGGGCTAATTGGCTTTGGACCCCACGAACAGTCTTTCAAGTATTGATTTTTATTAGTTGAGTTGTTATTGTTCCACATTGTCAGCTAATTCTGGCAGCCATTTTTCATGGTTTCACTTGAAGATGAGAACAAAGCAATGTGCTTGGCAATACTGTAATGCAACTACTAATGGCCATAAAACCACAATGGAGACTTACTGTATGGGAGAGACAGCTGGTCTGATATTCCTGGGAGGTTGTGGTGGGCAGATTTACGGCCAAGCTTTCACGGCATCCAATGCCACTTTTAAATTGCTGTGTAATGAAATGGAGTCATTCTTAGTGCTGCTCATGAAAAAACCTACATCTGCATTTATTCAAGAAATGGGCTTCCATCGCTTAATTGCATATTCTCTGATACCTTAAAGCTTGTTCATGATATTGAGGAGATTTTATATAAATTTTTGCCATTTCCTCTCAGCCTTTCTAATTCAATGCACCATCATTTACCAACAAGTTGTTGGATAAAACTGAGCTGCAGACGGTTTCTGCCTTAGTCCCTTGGAAAACGCCTTGGGAAAAAAAAGTGGAAGCAACAAATACAAAGATTTTGACATTTAGGGTGGGGCAGATTGACTTATGTTTACAACGGATGTTCTGTGGCTGAAAGGTTGTTCCCCCAAATCTGGGGTTTGTTCGTCAACAGCTGTGGAAGCATCCTTAAATAAATCATTTTGTTGACATTTATTCAAATGTTTTGGCAGTGCTGCAAAGTGTATTGAAAATAATTCACTATAGTTGCTCTGGACAGCAGCATGAGCAGATCGCCTGAAATGTTAATGTGATGTTTGTGTATGCGTGGGTAAGGGGGAGGGGAATGTGTGTGTCGGAGTAAGGATGAAGGCGGGTGTACTTTAGCTCTTTAAATTCAAATTAACGGGAGAATCACTTCACCACATTTCTTCCGATTTTGCAGTAATTGTGATTCGAGCATTTTTTTTTTTTTATTCACTGTAATTGACAGCTGTGACACTGTATTCTGCGTTCAATAAATATTTCATGACCCCTGAGAGGGAGCCAAGCCATTAAAAATGTATGGTAAAATGTCTAAAACGCACCGACCCCGATGGGAAAATCGGCCAGAAATCATGGAATTTTCAGCATTCATGTGTGTGTGTTTAATTTTTGTTTTGACATGTGCATAGTTTTTGACAGACACAAATGTGCCCGTAACTGCTGAGTATGGTCAGTTTTAAATTGTGTGTCTGTTAGTGGTAAATGTGTGGCATGCCTCTCTGCTCTCTCCTCCGCTAAGCAGAGAATAATTTATAATGGCTTTATTCTCTTTATTCTCCTTGTAGAGGAAAGGGTCTCGACAGGGCTTCTCCAACCAATTCTATATGTGCTGTATTATTCCCTTATTAATATTCAATACTGCTTTACTGCCAGAGAGCTTCCGCACACAGCGCACTACATCAAATACTGCTACATGACCACATTTAAAATTTTTTTTATCTTTACCTTAATCTATCTATCTATCCATCCATCCATCCATCCATCCATCCATCTATCTATCCATCTATCCATCCATCCATCCATCCATCCATCCATCCATCCATCTATCTATCTATCTATCTATCTATCTATCTATCTATCTATCTATCTATCTATCTATCTATCCATCCATCCATCCATCCATCCATCCATCCATCCATCCATCCATCCATCCATCCATCTATCTATCTATCTATCTATCTATCTATCTATCTATCTATCTATCTATCTATCTATCATCTATCTATCTATCTATCTATCTATCTATCTATCCATCCATCCATCCATCCATCCATCCATCCATCCATCCATCCATCCATCCATCCATCCATCTATCTATCTATCTATCTATCTATCTATCTATCTATCTATCTATCTATCTATCTATCTATCTATCTATCTATCTATCTATCTATCTATCTATCTATCATATCTATCCATCCATCCATCCATCCATCTATCTATCTATCTATCTATCTATCTATCTATCTATCCGTGTTGTGTCACACTCACTCCCTTACTCCCTCAGTACTTGCATTATTTTAGACATTTCCAGCCTTTTCTGGCCTAAAAAATGTCACATTTTAAAAAATGTCAATAACTGGTACAAGACCATGTCAATTTTAATGATAATACATCAGTTTCCCTCCTGGCGCCCCTTCATGATATGGTCTCCCCTCTCCATCTTTACCTTTCTGTGTAACTTTCTCCGCTTCTACTCTGTCAGCTCTGTCTCTTTCTCTCTGCCCATCTCTCTCTCTCTCTCTCTCGCTCTCGCTCTCTCTCTCTCTCCTCCCTTAATGCACAAGGCGGCGGTATGCGGTAAATGGCAAACCGAATGTTCATTATTTCCCAAAGCAGAATGACAGTGATCGCCTCCACCACTTGGAGAAATGTGCCGCCCACAACAGCTCCAGATGGAGGACGGCAAAAAAAAATTGTTTCCACTCTTGCCTTTGACCATGATGGTGAACACAAAGTGGATTCTGAAATATTTGGCAGAGTGGTTGTGTAGATTCCTTCACATGCTTGTGTTCACTTCAACTTGTGCTCCAAGTTAAAATAGTAATTAAGCAAAAATGTGTCTTATTTTAACTGACTGGAAGAACACCTCTGGGAGAGGAAGATGTATCATGACATTTTGGTTTGGCTGGGGCACTCCTGGAGGCTGAAGCTAGTTTGAATGTGACCTTTTGCTCATTTAATCCCTCTGTCCCTCTCTTGCAAACTACCCCCCAAAAAAACATTTGGTCTGACTGAGTCATTTTAACTCCCATCTTGGCTTTTAACTAATGAATTATGGGAGTCACGTTTAATAATCTCTGTAATCTCTAATTTACTTGACATTTTGAACTGAATTTCCGTGGCAAAAACAAGCACTTTAGTGGCTGTACTTTGACGGCGTGCAATTGCCGGCAAGAATGACCTTGCAGCCCTGTTTTGCTGCTGTTGACTGCAGCGCGCTCGCTTTATACTAGACCAATTTCAAAAATGTTTGTTCCAATTAGTCACATAGACACAAAAGCATGGAAAAATAGGGCCCAGGTTGAAAAATACTGAACTTACCCTTTAATATGTGTGCCATAAGTACTGTTAAGTTAATGAAACATTTGGGAATTGTTTTGTCTCTGTATTCATCTTCTGTATGCTTATGTCATATTTTCAAGTCTTACTAAAAATGTTGTCAGCATTTCAGTTATGAAAATTCATCACGAGACTAATATACACTTGAATTATGAACTTTTAGTGTAGCATTTGACTTTTTCTCAGCCACTTTGGTACATTTTTCGAATCATCCTTAACATTTGCAAAACACTAAGTGCATTTCTCGAAACCGTACAAACAGCACCACACAGTGGATTACCTGCAGAAGCCCATAACTTGCTCAAAATCCTTAGTTTATCTCTCAAAAGTAAGTCGGTTAACATGTCAGTGCCATCAGAATGACAAGTCCTTATGTCATTGTTTAAGACAAGACAGTCAAATTGTTTAGCCCTGTTGTCAAAATAAAAGTGTATTTTCTGATGTAAATTATAGTGTTTTGATGACAATGATTGAAAATGCACAATGCTCACTTTTTCTGTATGGTATATATCAACAGCAACAGTACAAAGTTATACATCAAAAGAGATTGGACTGGGTTCACAGTTATGCTTTTACTGTCTGTACTGTAATTTGAATAGAAAACACGCTTGACAGATTATGACGTGTTCAACCATTTTGCATGTAGTGACTTATGCAGTGAACGTATGCCTAGGTGTTTTGGGGTCAGTAAGACTATTCAATAGAGAACCTGTATTTATACATTGTGCTTAAAATGACATACGCAATTGATAATGTAGGAAACAGCATACAGCTGTGAATAACCATTTGCATTATTAAATCAATATATTCAAAAGAATGAGAAACTGCTTTTACGGTGTGCACAAGTGACTGAATGATGTGGAGGTTGAACAAGTAGTTTTGAGAATTTTACTGCACTAAGGAATGTATATTTAAACACAACAAGATGCAATCAGTTGAAACATCTTGCAATTAATAACAATTTCGAATTTCGAAATGAAAGGGCAACTAGGGATGCACCGATCCAATCTGCCAGATCGTTATTGGGTCTGATGACCTATATATAGTTTGCAGATTTGGTATCAGCAAGAAATAACCGATCCACATTAAATATAGTTTCTTTGTCAATGTCATTATACAATTCAATGTTTCTGCTATCACTTACATTCATTCAGTCACGGCAGGATGCCAACTGAGTTTTTAGTGCCACAGGTATCCCTGGCATCATTATTTTACAAAAAAGTGATTCCAACTGCTAGATGAAAATTTCAAGAACTTATTGGTATAGGGCAATTTGTTGTCCTTTACTGACTAACAAATCCTCTAAACTCAACAACAAAATAAGTGGACAGCTGATAGGAGAGTTTCTGATCTGGTTCCCTGTCTCCAAGATTTTTTTCTAGTGCCTTCAAAATTCATTGCAAGCCTGCATCATTATATTTCTCCGAGCTGATTTCCATCAGAGCCTTCAGAACTGGCCAAATAAATGAAAGCTTGTCTGATATTGAGGACGCTGTATCACATTTTGCTGTTGATATTCATTTTTTCCTCAATTCGATACACCGCACCTTGCAAAAAATGTAAAGTATTTGTCAGAAGCTCGGCCGTTGGCCCTCACCTTTTTTTTTCTTTTTCTAGCTACAAGGTGAACCTGCAGCATAAAAGTTTTCTCTCCCTCTCACTTGCTAACTCTCGAACTCTTTCTGTCTCTCTCTCTCTCTCTCTTACCAGGTGTGCCTGGTAAACCTCAGATCTCAGGCTTTGAGAATGCAGTGCAGGAGGGGGGCAAAGTCACCCTGACCTGCACCAGTACTGGCAGCAAACCCCCCGCCATGCTGCGCTGGTACAGAGGAGACCAGGAGCTGGAAGGTGAGAGATACAGGGAGTGTGTGGACGCTCTCTGTGTGTGTTTGTGAATGTTTGTGTGTGTGTGTGCGTGTGTATTGTGGGGTCAGAATACGTGTGTTGGATGTGTCTGTTGTTGTCCTCTGGCTTGTACTCATGCTGGATCTGTTTGTGTGGTAAGGAAGCACATATGTGTGGTTATGTGTGTGTGTGTGTGTGTGTGTGTGTGTGTGTAGGACAGGGTGTGCGAGTGTGTAGCTGTAAGGATATTCTGTAGGAATGCAAGGATGTGGTTTGTGCTTGTGCACATGTATGTGTGTTTCTATGTGGGCTTACAGTAAGTGTTTGTGGGATTCTGCAGTACTCTGTGTATGTGTGTATGGTGAATGTGTTTAAAATTATTTGTGCACATATGCCTCATCTATGATCATTGTGTGTGTGTGTGTGTGTGTGTGTGGGTGTGTGTGTGTGTGTGGGTGTGTGTGTGTGTGAGAACGAAGCTTGTGTGTGATCATGCTGTGTGCGTATTGTGTCCTTGCCACGTTGCCTGCTGTCTCCCTGTGTTCTAAACCTGTGCCTGCATATGTGTGTGTGCAAGTGAGAGAGCATGCTGCTTGTGTCTGTGTGTGTGTGTGTGTGTGTGTGTGTGTGTGCAGAAACATGCTGTGAGTACATTTGTGTTTGTGTTTGGGCCTTTTTTCCCCCCATCATTCCTTATGTCCTGATCCTGTAAGTTTGTGCCTATGCATGTATCCAGGAACTGTATATGTGTTTGCTTTTATTGGATTTTGTGTTAGTTGATGCAGAATTTATTTGTGCAAGTGTGTGTGTATCAACCATTGAGCTGCAACATATCTGCAACTGGGAGTGACACAACAGAGAGCGAGAGATAGCGTGGGTATGATCTAGCCGGGGATAACGACAGAATCCAGCATAAAAGGCAGGGCGGAGGAGAGGATGAAGGGATGAGGTCGAACAGAGAAACAGAGATAGAGAGAGCTTTGCATGAGGTCAGACTGCCTGGTCTTTTGTTACAGATAAACGGGAGAAATGAGCAGGGAAGAGAAAGCGAGAGGCAGAGTGAGTGCAGCGAGGTTGTCATGAGAGGACAAATTAGCGGGCTTTTCTTCCTACAGATGAACTGAAAATCAAGGAGACGATTGGCAGCCTCTGACTCACACCAGTGGTATTGGCAGTGGTAGCGTTTGTGCAAATTACGGCCATGTTTCCCGTAAACACTCCCCCCCCCTTCTTGTTGCTTCATCAGTCAAAGGTTTTCTATTTTCCTTTACCGAGCAGAACAAATATGTTGGAAGTGTTGTTTCTGTCGCCCTCTCGCTCCTTCCACCATCTGCTGCCACCAGAAACTCTATAAGCTTTAAGCCGTGCTTGTACAGGAAGAACAGCGCCCTCTGTCTGTTTGCACAGCTCTCCAGCAGAAGTCCCGCCAAATCCACTCTGTGTAAATTGACGTGTTCAGACTGGTAGATCGTCTTTGTACTGGCCTTTTCTACAGTAATTATACTAATATAATATGATGACATAATATGATAATGATTTATTGATATGAAAATGCTACACTCAGGCTTTGTAATGCAAAAATGCCCGTCTTGTGGCCTGATGCTTTGGCAGTGTTTGTGCTTGCTATAATTATGGATTGAAATGAATCGAAAGAATGGACTGAAGCTACAAAGAGAAGGAGGAATGGGAGAGCTGCCTGCCCGAGGACAGATTATCTGGTCTTTTTGTTACAGCTGAACTAAAAAGAGGAGACGTGGGGAAAGGGGAGTCTAGAGATTGTTGCTTTTAAGGGAGATTGGATTTTTGTTTAAAGTGTCAGCTGACCCAAAATACGAAAAGATGTATTTTCCATCTTACCTGTAATGGTATCCTTCCACGGAGATAGTTTTGGAGTAATTTGCCCAGGTTTTTTAATATAAGTCCTATGAGATTTCTACCAACGCTCCAATATAATGGAGGTGTCTACAATTTGTGGTGCTCACAACATTAAAATTCTCCAGAAACAATGTTTCACAGTATTTCTGCTGAAGAAGTCCTATGCTTATGTTTATACTGGACATGTCTGCACTTCATGATTTACATCTAGTGCTAGTGCATTCTGCGCCATTGCAGAGGGTACTGTGCCCTTTATGTGGCAAGGTGGAAAATAGAGTTGTGGAGGTATGGGAGCTGGATGGGCATGTAGCACATCTGACTTTTATGTTCCTGTCACAGACCTATAATGTTAGCTTTTTTCTTACTGAAACCTATATATTTCTCTAACCATAACATTAAAAGCGTTTTAGTTTTATAACCTTAATGATACATCAAAGGGGTAGTTTGTATTGCACATCCACAATGTTAAGGGACTCACAAGTAACAGATTTTTAAAAAGAATGGTCAAAATTGAAGCATCAAAGGCCCTCTCAACTCGTCCCTGGTGTGCCAATCTCCGAAATCAGTGGATCCATATAGGATTATTTTTTCAGACATGCCCTCCAGAAGACATTATACAACTGTATTCACAGGCTGATTAGTACTCCTCATGACTAGAAATCTAAACACCATTAGTGGATTGCCCTTTAACCATACTTTATATGCCATAACCATGATCTTTCCCATTTCTATGCAAAGATATTGCTTAAATAAATAAGTAAAAAAAATCATTTGCAATGAATGTTAAAAACAACACTGAACATAATCTAGGGTTTTGCTGAATCACTAGTCTTGTCTGGCCATAGGGTCACATCCAAAATAATAGGGACATTGGCCTTTTTTGGGCAGGGCTGGGCAATAACAAAGTACAGTTACTTCAGTATTGTACTTAAGTACATTTTTCGACTATATGTAATTTTATTGAGTATACATTTTTTTGGAAACTTTTGACTTTCACTCCACTACATTTGAAAGACAAATATTGTACTTTTGACTATACTACATTTCTATGAATGTTCTTGTAACGCGTTACTTTGAAGCATTGCTTTAAGGCAGTGGCGTAAGTCCCAGTGGTGCAAACGGTGCAATGCACCCAGCCCAGCTGATTACAAGGGCCCACTAAGGGAGAGGGACATTTGCCACGTGGATCGTGATCAGATGCTGTCATCCACTCATTCATAATGTGTTGGCATCATGGGTTGTTGTGCTTTTCTTGATTGCTATTTGTTCTGTGATTATTGACATACTGTGTCAGCTACTTTGTGTTGATTTGTTAGTAAAGCCGTTTCGGTTGTTTGATAGTCGGAAGCAGCAGGTTTGAGTCGAGGACAGGCTGTAAGATTTGCATTTGGCACTTTGGCTGCTGTCCGTGGTGCTGATCAAAGGCTGCAGGTTTGCAGATGTGTGGAGTCGTTGTGTGTGTCCCTGTGGTCTGTACGCTTATGTTTGAGATTTTTGAAATGAAGAAAGATGCCTATCGCTTTTAATGTTTGCTCTGTTTACCATGTACTAACTTCACTGCAATCCAACCTGAGGTAGCATGTTCAGTTAAATATTTGTTCAATAACAGATGCACCTTTTAAACAAAGGTATCTTTGCTTGTAATAGTTGCAGTTTTTATGCTTTGATTGGTCAAAACATTATGGATTTTTATGGATTTCCCCGCCAAGTTGTCATCTGTGGAACGGGTCCTGTGTGAATCCTCTGCTGACACACGCTAATAGTTAGCTAGCAAAAATGCAGAGTTGATATGTTTTAATCTTGTCAAACTACTGTTATTGGCAACAATACAGCAATGTGTTGCCATTATATTTTTAAAGCAAAAACCTTTGCTTATACTGGAGTAATATTTTACCAGGAGTATTTATACTTTGACTCAAGTACTGGAGTTGCGTACTTTGTCCACCTCTGAATTTGGGCGAACCAACTCTTTAAAAAACAGAAGGGCGAATAGTGAAAAATAGAGACAGACAGAGAGAAATTTGAAGGAGATCAACTCGACGTGAGTCATGGTGTGTTCGAGGCCTTGCCCAGCCGACCTGACACCCCACAACACCAATCAGTCATTGCTGGAACGACACGCTGTCACACACACAAACACACACAATACACACACCTTCGGTTTAACACAGAACACTGGTAATGGACGATGATAATAATACACACACACTGTCACACAGTGCTCATCTCCGGCTAGATAGCCGAAGAGCACCACAGGTCAGCGTGCTATTATTACAGCTTCTCATTCATGCGGTTGTAGTTGCAGTGGGTTTGAGCGTGTGTGTGAGTGAATGTTGGAAAGATGAGCTCTTAGACTGCTGCTGCTCACCACTGCTTCTCTGACAGCTTCACTGACAGTAAAAGCAAAGAAGGAGAGAGAGGGAAGGCAATGAGGGCAACACAGATGTAGAGAGAGTGTGCGTATGTGTGTGTGAGAGAGAGAGAGACGACCTATATCAAGAAAGTGACAGTGAGGGGCTGCCGAGAAAACAGAGAACAGAAAGGGAGAGAGTGTGTGTGTGTGTGTGCGTGTGTGTGCGTGCACGCATGAATAAAGACGGAGCGACGGCGAGAGAGTGATGGAAGTTGCAAAGAGACGACAGAGGAGAGAGACTGAAAGAGAGAGCAGAAGGGGAATTAAGAAAACCACAGAAGAAGAAGCGAGGCGGCTTTGCGGCTGACTAGGAGCACAGACTGGGGGCAGGGGATGAGGCAAAGGGGGACCAGTTTTAAAGAAGATGGGACTGGAGAGCGCAACAGGAGAGAGGGGAGAAAAAGCAGGGAAGGCTGACGAAATAGAGAGAGAAATCCGGAAAGAGGATTTAGATAGAGAGAGGAGGGGAGACGGAGAGCAAGAGAGTGCGGGAAAGGGAGTGGTAATTGAGAAGAATGAAAGGCTAAGAGCTTTGAAGACTGTATTAGTTGTACTGTGTGAAAGGGCTATGGATCATTTAGTGACATCGATGTATTGGATTGGGGATAATGGGGATTTATGGTGGCACTTAAGGCCATACCGGCTGAATACCGGCCCAAATTGTCATAATGCAGGACGTGGGGCGGATGGCGAAGGGTACATGGGTGTGTGTCTA